TAATAAGTGCCTATTAACTTATATTCTTTTTTTCAAGAAAAGAGATCCTCGATTCAGTATTGCTTCCAATTATAAGAACCTTGGAATGAGAATACAAAGAAACAAAAAGAAAAAGAGCCATCATACAAAAATCTTCTTTACCCACGGTAGGTTAGAATTACTTTTGATTTGTGTAAGAGAAATATTGATTATCATAATATAATTCATATAAAATGATAATTTTTCTGTCAAAGAGAAAGCATTTTTAGGTGTAAAGGATAATGTATAAACAATTAGACAATAAAAAGACGTAAAAATTCCAGTTTGTTTCCATCAATTAGACTAATCTTTTTACTTGATAATGGAAGATTCTTCAAAATGTTTATTTCTAAGGAAGTTGTGAAATAGATACTATATAGAAAACTAACACTATTCATTACAATGAAGAAATGCACAATCAAGAGAAAAGTCCTTACCACTAGATATTTGAAGTTTTTAATATAGGTACTATCTAAGAAATATAGGTCAGCGAGACCAGATCGGTTTCATTAGTTTAATTTAAAAAGAAGCCATGATCTATGACAATGCTTCTTACTATGAGTTCTATAATTCAAGACGGAAGGAAACTTATATGAATCAGTGAACCTATCATTATGTAGTCATTGATAGTGGTTATTTTATATAATAATAGATTGACCAGATCGTAAGCATCTTTTCTTCTCAAGTAATAAAACTCATACTGAGAAGTGTTACCATATGTTATAACTCCTTTTCAACCCAACTGATTGACACCGGGATGATTTCGTTGGGATAGATTGATAAGATAGTACGTATGCTAAAAGTTTCAAATGTGTAATATTAATAATAGTTGACATCTTAGGAGAATACTTTTGGTTAGTAGTGTATTTCTTTATTGAGATCAATAGTATCAGTTCGAAACAGAAACCATTGACAATTTCTTTGCGAATAACAACTTTGAAGAGATCACAATCATCGGGAAAGAAACCGGTCCGATTACTTAGATTAGCTTGGAGACACTGAAGTATTTTTATCATCTAGTTATCTATAGACCACTCGGCAGACATCTGGTATTCCCTGGTTATTTAGTTACTGGTTATGAATAAAAAAGAAACGTTTGTATATAAATCAAATGAGATATCTAGTATGTTAATTTTCCAATTGTTTTATTTGAATATGTTAGTAGATAAACATGCCATATCTGTGAAGAAGTATTTCATAATTAATTGCATTTTGATCAATCTTATTTTTTTTTTTTTTTATTACAGACCCAATCTTAGTAAAGATATTATATATACAGAGTGTGCCATAAATAACACTATCATAAAAAAAAAAGAAACTATCTTCACGTCAGTTTATTCAAATAGACTGATTTTTTTTGGTTTGTTATAAGAGTTTATTCTTTTTCATACAGATGAGGTAAGATAATACCACTATCAAGTATTACTATTGATGTCATAGAAGCAATGTCATCTATTATCAAGTAAGACAAAGAAATGTGTATCGTTTTATAGATAGTTTTCAATTATGATCTTCGACAATAATAAAAAGTGATTAAAATAACTATATATGTAGGATACTATCTTGATAAATCAATGATTAAAAAATTTTGAAACATGAAACATGGGCTTTTTGGTGTTTAAACGACTGCAGTTGTGTATTTTACTTATGTAACATGAATTTTAGCATTTAAACATAACTAGTTTTAAAAACTTAATCTGTATGATTTTTTTCTTCTTTTCTTTGTCTTCAATAACAAGTGAAAAATATCTATAAAACCATTCATATTTGTCTCTTTTTGCTTGACAATAGGTAAAGTTTTTTCTTTTTTTATTAAGGCCGAAGCGAATCACTTGACAATAGCGTTTGTTTACGTTATCTGTATGAAAACGAACTTTAGATACTCTTTCACCGCTAATCAAAAGAAAATAAGCTCATTCAAGCGAACCGAAGCATAAATATTTCATTTTTTATCGTAGTGTTATGTACAGCCTATTCTATGCGTTATTTATGTTAATAATCATCTACTTGTGAGTAGTTATACATTAATGTTTTCTTATGTCTTTTTTTATAAAAGAATAAAAGCTTTGCATTAATAGATTATTTCTTCTTGGAAGAAATTCATTTGCATTCTATTAAGAAAATCACTATTTCAATAAGTATTCGATTAATGTTATAGTTCTCAATTATTAAAATATGTCCGTGAAGTCTGACAAAGAATTGTCTATTTTTTTTGTTATATGATTCTTTCTTCGAATGTCAATGAGAAAGGTAATCTGTCATGTGGTGCAGAATATTTTAAAAATAATGAGATATAAATGTTTCCATGTGTTAGCTGAATGTTAGTCATGTCTAGATCTTGAGACAATCTTTTTAGTTTATATCAATAATAAAATAGATAGATTCTATTGTTTCTTTTCTTTATGCTTGATTAACTAAATACATAACACAGATGTTGATGTATATAAGTTTCCTAATAAAGAGCAATATTTTGTTTATAGAATTCGTAATGTATAAAACATCATCAATATAGCAATGTTGATTTAATTCAACGACAATAATCATATATCGACTGGCTTTTGTGATATTTACGAGTGATATATCAATCGATCATCTCTGTAGTAGTTGTAGTAGTATGACATGTAATAAAAAACATATGAAAAAAATCTTAAGATATCTACAGGAGACGATGATAATGTTGTGACAATCTTTCACTAGCATATAAAAGCATATATGAACACCGAGAAAATAATTATTACTCTTTTATTTTTTATCGTTATTTACAAGACAATAAAATTGAAGTATGACCTAAGTACATAAAGTGTTTACTTTTTATTAACTATTATAGTCTATGATACAATGCATTTCTTTAGTTTGGATATTGTTTTGTTTTCCTATCAATCGATTTCTTTTTCTTGTTCTACGTTAGCATGCATTTTTCCTTCTTTCATATTCATTAATCAGTATTTTTCTTTGTAGACGACATACATATTTCTTGTCTTGTCTGATATTTATCAATTGAATATGTTCATTGTTAGTCTGTACACACAGTTTAGTTTTTCAAATTATTGAAAACCTTGAAATATACTTCAGAAAATTTTTCTTACTGAAGCTGTTTGTTTGAGTCAATGACATTGCTGAAGATATTATTAATATATCATTGATCTACTATCGATATCCTTCGATCTGAGATAATGGATTTTACATGTTTTTATCTTCTATAGAATGTTATATTTACACAGCCGGTTTATAAGATCGTTTAACGTTGTTTATAGATTATCGTATTTCTTGATATAGCTAATAAATTGGTAGAACTTGCAATATTTAATATTTGGAAATTTCAGATACGATTCTATCGTACGAACACTACAAGGTTCTGACCTTCAATCATAGAAACAATCTCAATCGAATCAATAATCAACATTCAGTATTGTCAATGATATATATATATATATATATGTTTATCTTTTTAGATTGAAATTGATAATAGTAGAAGAGTATAATAGTTAGGTATTAAGCACAAATCAGACATTTCTTTCTCATTTGATTCCTATCTCGCGCTGTCCACAATATGACACATATCAAGGAGAAACGGATAGAAAACAATTAGGCAAATTTATTTGTTTCTGCTGAAAGATAGACTTTGTAGGATAGAAGTAATGAAACTATAAAAATGAGAAGAAAAGAATTAATGACAACTGTACCTTGTTGACATTGATTCATAATAGAAATTTCAATGAATTTTTCTGAGAATGAATAGTTATATCGCTTTTAGTAATTACGATAATAGTGATATCCTTTTAAAGTCAAATAATTTATCGGAATTGTGTAAAATCCGGCGCGTGTTTATACATACACTTCTGCTTATATGTAATGGAGAAGAAATATAATTTAGAAATATTCATTATATATTAGGAGAAAATGTTCCATCGAATATTTTCTCTTTTTTTTTTTGTTTTTTATTTTCTTTTTTCCGTTCATGTTTAGAATATACATTTGACAAAATCTAAATGAATAAATGAGAAGAGAACCAATTACATCGTTTCTGATAGGATAGATTGAAGAGAAAAATAAAAAAAAAAAAAAAGCAAGAAGAAAAACGAAGTATTTTTTTATTGTTAACCATTGCCAATATTTAATCAAATGTGATTCTCGTGAGCATGTTACTTAATAAAATTTTCTTAATGTCTAAATGAAATAAACATGATTAGATCATCATTAAATAAGCGGAAAGAAAAAAATAGTATTTATTTCTTAATATATATATATATATTTTTATAGTGATTATATATTAAAAATAATTTTTCGGAAAAACAACTATTTAGAAAATAATTGACATTCTTATGATTTCATTACTAGAATCAATCGTAAAAAATAAAAAGGAAAAGAATACAATTTGTATTTGATCAAAATCATTAAGTTGTATTGATGGGATGTGTTGTATGTGTAAAAAAGTGACTTCTTGTGTTTTTTAAATCATTAGAGAGAGAATAGAAAGCTAACTGAAAAAAAGAAAGAGAAAAAAAAAACAAATTACATCTCATCAAATAAGCTTTCATATCTTATTACGTGGCTTACACAGACAGACAGATAATTCTGAGAGAAAAAAAGCTATGATTCTATTAGACCAGATACGTATACGCTGTTCGCGTATATCGTTATCTACTCTATTTTTCAAACGATCATATTGCTGATCAAATCTTTCATAGTTAAGTATCAGAAGTTTTTCTTTTACCCGTAGCATCAACAAAAAAGAAAAATAATGTTCGTCATGTGAGCTCGTATAGAAACATGCACAAATATTTTCATTTACCTTCCTCTTTTTTTGTGTTCTAACAAGGATCTGTTTCCAGGATAGATGACAATCGTTGACTTTGAGTAATGGTATTACCCTCGACAATGGGTGTGATAAATATTTCTTTAAAATTGATAAAATATTCCATATTTTAGAGACACGATCATCTTCCCAATCTAATCAATCTGCTATATTTTAACTTAACTAAATGATACATATGGAAGAACCACATCAACAACAAAAAAAGCAACCTAAAAAACTTCATACGCGTTCAATAATAAATTTTTTCCAAGGTGTTGCACTTACTTTATTTATATTCGCTCTTATACTTACTATTTATTCAATAATTATTTATTTTGCTCGTCTTATACCATATAGTAATTATGCTATTGTATTTGATGCTGGTAGTTCACATACAGAAATGTTTGTTTATCATTGGCCAGCTGATAAATCTGATGGTTTAGGTACAACATCAACAGTTAATGAATATTTTGTTTGTCCATTAACAGGAGTTAATATAAGTGATCGAATAAAACATGGCGAATTTATCAAACTTAAAGCTATATCTGATTTTGAACAACATCTTGATTTATTAGATGATTATTTTCGACCTTGTTTAACAAAGGCTATTTTAAAAATTCCATCAAATCGTCATAAATTTTCGCCAATTTTTCTTGGTGCAACAGCTGGTATGCGTTTAGCAAACTTACGTAATGTAACAAAATCACAACAAGTATTGGAAACAATACGTGAAATATTTTCACGTTCACCATTTCAATTTGTTCTTGCTCGTCAAGTAAATAAATACATAAAACTTATAATATTGATATATATATATATCGAGAGAGAACAAGAAATAAGATCTATGCATTAACATGTGTTAGTTGTCATAAAGATAGTTATACTTAACGGGATAGAAACCTTATTGTAAATACAGTTCATATGTAGGATTGTTCCTAATCAATAAGAAACAATTTGACCTGAATATTAATGATAACTTTTTTTTTCTATTATAAATGTTTGATTGATATGAGCTATTATCAGATGTTATTTATAGATTTTCTCATAATTCCTATTGCCTATACTGTGCTTTTGTTATAAATGACAAAACTTTGTCTGTTACGTGCTTTGTTATCAGACAATGTTCTTCTTTTTCTTTTGTCAATATAAACATTAGCGTCCAAACTGAGATTATACCAAAATAATAGATTGAGGGGTTAATTGTTATTAACATTCTAATTAGTCTTCATGTTCGGATTGTTATTGATGAAATCAGAGAAGAGTGAGGATGAGGCGGGGGCGGGGGCGGAGGAGGGGGAGGGGGAGCGGACGAGTAGTGACATTTTAACTAATACAATCATAATTTGATCAATTAAGTTTGAATTCGTGATGTTATGCCCCTTTTTATATACGAGAACTAATTCAATACAAAACTCTCTATGATCGATCGAATTTTAACTTGATTTATTTGTTAATACTATTATCGATTCTTTCTAAGCTTATCAATAAAAATTCGAATATATAGATTAATTCGAATTTTAACATCAATTAACTCTTCTCAATCTAATATAATGATTTAACACATTCATTTGAGTTCTAACAGAAACAAAATGAAAATTAATATGAATCAAATTTATTTAAATCTATTAATTATAGGTACGAATATTAACCGGTATGGAAGAAGCTATTGATGGTTGGATAACAACAAATATTTTATTGGAAAAATTTAAACATCGACATTCAGAAAAGAAACAAATAGAACGTACGAATTCTGATGATGAATTTGATTCTGATATGGTTGGTGTACTTGACTTAGGTGGTGCTTCCACACAGGTTACATTCACTTGTAAGATTTATTTGTTTTTATATCTGTTAAACAGAAAAAATTGACAAAAAAGTTTTTATTTAGATGTAAATGATGTTACGAATGAACTAATTCCTGATGAATTTACGACAAATATTACGTTATTCGATACTATTTATAATCCATATGCACATAGTTATTTATGTTGGGGTAAAAATGAAGCATTAAGACGTTATAGAGCTCGTCTTCTTAATGCTGTACTTAATGCAAGACGACCATATTTGTCGAATGTAAAACAAATTCTTATAGGTGATCCATGTTTAGCTCCTGGTGCAAATGATTCATTAACAATAAATAATCTATTTCGTTCACCATGTACAGCTAATGAAAAACAACTATTTTATACTTATACAAATATATCAATATTTAAATTTATTGGAATTGGAAATGCTACACAATGTCGACGAAATCTTATTAATTTATTTGATGCTAAACGTAATGATAAAACAGTTAATTGTTCATTTAAATCAGAATATTGTACATTTGATCATGCATTTCAACCAAATCTACCAGAAAATATAAAATTTATTGGCTTATCTGGATATTACTATGTATTTAATAATCTTGCTCATGGTTATTAATTTACTAAAAGAAAAAGCTAATACAATAATAATAATAATAATTTGTTCATTTAGGTATGCCAAAACCCAAACAATCAACAACTGAACGATATAAACTTCGAGATTTTCCACAAGAAATTATTAATCAACGGCTTTTCAACGTTGTAAGTATAACATTTATTATCTAGATTTAATCTAAGTTTGAAAAGAAAAATATATTCAGTAAGGGTTCATAATACCACAAATTACTGTTTTGAATAAATGTATTATTTCGAAAAGTGTATTAAACACAAGTGATAAATTATTTGAGTATTTCTCTATGATTCTAAAAGGATATATACATCGGGACAAACAAAAAAGTGATGACAGTAGCACTATAACACATTATAGAAGGCTCAAGGGAAATTTCTCTCTCTATATATAAATACTGATAATTCAAACAGTGTTTTAATATTCTATAATATTTTATCATGCTTCAATGGCTATGATAATGCATAGAATACTGATTAAAGCTGTTAACTTCTGATTTAGATGAATAAGTCAAGTCTGCTTTAGGCTACCATGCTTGATTTCTCGAAGTAGTTGAAAAATGATATGAATGACTTTGTGAGTATTGAAAAGATGTTAAGGACAAAGTATGATCGAGCAGATCTGTAACTAAACAACACTGGAAAATATCAAACAGATTTATTTCTTTATTATTGATGATCCTCATATTATAAATGATAAATCTCAAGCGCAATTGATATAAATCATAGTGTCACCCAGAGAATAATTTCCAATCATCGTAAGCGTAAACAGATTACATATCATTATATCTCGGAACAGTTGACCCTCAGGATGATTATGAAAGATATAGTCTGAATTACAGATCTAGTAAGTTATTCTTCAGCTTCAACATTTCCTAGTACTTCACGAAATCATGCATATTATCTGTCAACTGTTCCGACAGATGAAGTCTGGCTGCCAAAAGCAAAATAGAATTGATTATGAATAACTCTTGCTGTTATATACATGATATAATACAAACTTCAATGTAAAAACTAAACAACTTTGATCGCAATTCAAAAGTAACTAAAGAATGATAAAACATTATAGAATTATAAAGTATAGTTTGAACTACCAGTATATATATATATAGAGAGAGAAAGAAATTTTCATTGAGTCTTTTATAAGGTATTATGATGCTATCATCATTACTTTTCATATGACTTGAATATTTTATTTCAAGAATTTTTTCTTTAAAAAAAATTCGAGTAAAGCATATTTTATATATATTTTTCTTTTCATTCAGTGTGAAACACATTATCAAAAACTTTATCACCAAGAATCTATGACACCAAATAATGAACAACACAAACGAGGTTTATGTTTTGATGCATGGTATATGTGGCTTTTGTTAACATATGCTATTGGTTTTAAAGAAAATAATTTAAAACGTTTAAGTTTTGCTAATACATTTCCAACAGGCAAAGTCGGTTGGACACTTGGTTATATGATAAATCAAACAAATTACATTCCAGCTGAATTTCGAGAAAGAAAATTAAGTAAAAATCATTTTATAGGTCGATTATCAACTTCATTATCAATTGCTTTAATTACATCTACATTTCTTCTTCTTACATGTTATGCATGTTATAAAAAAAAATCAACCATAGTATCAAAGAGTAAAGATGGTTATATCAAACCAACTGAGCAAGCGAATGTTTAAAATACTAGTATCTAGATTTGGAATTAAATCGACCTTGTATCAAAAAAATTCATCCAGCTCATCAAGGCAACAATTAGACAAAAACAAAAATAATACAGAATGATGTTCATATTGTATTTACAGATAGATATTTATTTATACATATTTTTTTTCTTTTAATCATATTATATATTGTCAAGTGTGTTTTCCTGTTTTGTCATACCGTTTTACTTGATATTTAGAAAAATAACTATTGTTGTGTTTTTGTCTCATTTCTTTTTTTTGTTTTTTTTTTTCATTAATATGATCCGTAGCAGTAGTAATCAATATTGTTCACTCGTTTTCTCGTTAATTAAGTAAAATTTATGTCATAGCTAAATTACAACTTGATGATATAGGAGATTTAGGTACACAACAGTGTATTTCTATTACATGAATTCGTTTCGATTTTTGCTAATCTATGTGATGAAAATCGCAGTTTGTTAATGTCTTTTTATGATTCATAATTAATACTCTACTCTGATAATGTCGTATTGATTATTATTATCAAGATGATTTGTAATAACATCCACACTCTCTTAACAACTTCAATACTAATAAAAAAAAAAGGACTTGTCGAAGAATATATTAACCAAGATGGATTAAAACAGATATCATTTATAGTACGTTTTTCGTCAGTAGATGCTGACAAAAAACAAGTCGTATCTTCGACATAACCTCACTACAATATAGCAATATTCCTGTATCTAATATTGTGACGGCAAACGGCGCATTTACATGTCGTGTTTTTTGTTTTTCGGGGAAGCAAAAATTTAGATAGAATCTTAGATATAAGTATCACATCCTGTATTAGTAGTTGTTCGTTGACGATCACGAACTTAATATTGTGTCTTTCCTAGGGATTTTTTTTTTATTTTTATTGATTCACAAAAATTAAAATAGTAAAACATTATTCTTCATCCTTGAACAAAAATAAAAGTATACCTTGCGTGTAACATCTTCCTGCACAGTTTTGAATAGCTTCTACAGCAAAATAAAATGATTCACGTGTACAACAGACAAAGGCTTGTCTTTCTTTGCTGTGTACTGGTTGCAATGAATTTACTAATACATATTTAGTACATATCTTCAGAATGTAACAAACTATCTAATTCTAAAAATAATTCTGAAGTTATTCTTTTTTTCGTACATGGTTACTGCAATATTTGGAAATAAAAAATTTCAAATAAAATTCTTTACGTTTATCATTTAGCGATTCTTATCAATGAATTACGATTCATCATCCAAGCTGAGACGATTTTCACAACTTTGGTATGCGCTGAACTCTTTATAGATTGGGATGGACAGAATAGTTCATATTTCAATTTAATTAGTAGTCGACTTTGTGAAGTTTATTTAGTGGTTGATTTTGTTGTCAATACCCTGAAGTTTTCTAGCACATGTATACATGTTCTTTACAATATATCATTCATTCTATCAATGTACTTTTTACTATCTTTGAGATTCTTTTGCTGCTATTTTCAAACAGAGTAATTATACATTATATTCATGTTGCCATAGGATTGACCGAACTGAAAATGGTTTTCAAATAGAGATCTTTCAAAGAGTTCAATTTTTTTTTTGTTTTACGTGAAATACCATTGTCTCTTCATATCTTCATTTTATATTCTATCTGTAAGAGACAATTATTTTCACGTATAGGTTTAATATTATAAACGTGACAAAAAATGTGCATTAAGAATAAATCTTCATGTCATTAATCTTTGCAACATCTGAAATTGATAATAGAAGCAAATGAAATAAACGATTCTATACTATCATCTTAGTTACTTCATTATTCTATTTGTTTTCCTAAATGATCATTAACGTAGAAGTTGATTTGTTTCATTAGATTACGATAAACTATATACACTAATTCACTATTATATCAAAAATATGCCGCAAGATTTTGCAACAGAAAAGAAAATGTTCCATAGCAATGCATATATATACTTAAATATTTCTTTTTTTTTTTGTTTAAAAGACAAAAAACATAAGGACGATTCGGATTTTATTACAAACAATAAGATATTGATATCGAAATCTCTATAATCGTACTTTGTGTGAAGCAATTCTATTGACCTATGATACAAATCAAAAAATATTAGATTCATTTTCGTACGATGGGCGTGCTGGAATGTACTTAAACAATAGTGGGATAAAGATATATGAAAGTACTTGATAGAAATAATGACATTATATATCTAAAATTGTAATTCTCGTTTAATTACAAGTAATTTCTTGAGAGAACTGGTTAAATAGAGTATAAATGCTTTGTTTCGGTTGCATTGACATTCTCAAGGTACAATTATTAACCAATTAGATACAGATAACATATCTTGAATATACAGTTGACAGACAATATCTTTTTCTCCACACTTTTAAAAGATATCTACTGTACAATGAATACGAATCATTATGAAATCTATATGTATATTAATGAGTTTTATATCTATTTAATTATCAAGTTTGAAAATCTTCTTTTTTTTTTATCAAATATGATGAAAATGATTGATTCATTTCTCGAACTTTTATTCGAATAAAAAAATAAATGATTAATTACTTAAAATAAGATTTAATATCAACAGATAAGTCAAAACTAGAAAAGAATGGAGACATATAAGAGGTCAAATTAGTTGACCGTAAAAATGTCAACGTGAAAAATTCTTTCGAAAACTCTGACTAACAAGACACAGTTTGTATTATATAGGATAATACTAACATTATAATACAGATCCAACACATATCAAGAAATACAAAAGAAAAATTTTATGCATTGTCATTTTTGTTTGTTTGTTTAGCAACTGTAAATGATTAAGTATCTAAATTGTCGTTTATCAAGATAGTTCGATGTAGGATGTCAGTATGTGAAGAAACGACTCTCACGTCCACGTCGTTACTACTGATTTCAAATTCAGACAAGTAGAATTATGAGAGAAAAAAAAAACAATGAACTATATATATGCTTAGAGTCAGCATTTTTCTTTTGGTATTTTCCGATTTCGACATTTTTCTAGCACACCGTCAAATTGGTTCTTTACTGTTTTGCTTATACAACTTCATTGAATCATATATCAACGGAAAGAGCATGTGAATACCTAACATTTTGGTACTATTTTCATGATGTTTTGATGGAATTTGAAAATTTAAAAGCGATAAGCAAAGTTACATATTATTACTCTAATAATCCACCCAATAACGTTAGATTCAATTTGAGAATAAAACAACAATGAAATCATGAATCTCATAGCTCTTTTAGGCACCTTTAATTTCATATTATAAAATCATCAATTGATTGTTTAATTAAAAGAGATATAGATCTGATCTATTGGGAATTATTAATACCCGCATATTTACTGTATTTATCATTCATTTTTATCTTTTAACAAATATTTAAATTTCAAAAATTGAAGTAACCAAAATTCTCGTATTGTTCATTTAATAGATCTTGTAAAAAGCTAGAAAGTCATATATTTTTCAAAATCGAAACAATTTGGCCAATTGAAAAATTCCTCAGTGTACTAATTATTCTACAGGCTTAATTTTAGTAGAAACTAATATAATATTTGGAATCAGTATGAAAAAAAAAAGAAGTTGATCTTACGAGGTCACATATGTAAGTGTAAAATCGCTTTTGAGTCAAGACTATGCGCATCATGTAGGCGTTAGTGAGACTAGAAGAAGTCCAAAAGGATAAGGGCTGCTAGGCCTATCTTCCCGAGTTATGACCGTTTTATTGAATTTTTTACCCTATGCAAGGTACTTCGAGGCAAATCGAAAGAAGGAATTTTGAGCTGAAATTTTGCCCATAAGTAGGCCTAATGATCCCTAGAATGTCCTGAAAGTTTCAGCCAAAACGAATGTTTCTTTCTTGAGATATTGGACTTACAAGAATGTCAAATTTTGTGAACTGCTTGTGACAGGTGACTATNCAAAATTTCATCTAGCTGACAGGTCATTTTCATGAGTTGTTTTGCATGTTTTTCAAATATGATTAGTTTTAAAAGAATTTCGTCTTATACATTATCGAAGAAAAAGACGTGCCCGCTCCTCCTCTTTCGATTGGTGAAAACCGCAGGCAGCTAGGTATTGCGGTTGTCGAGTTATTGAGCTTACACTCACCCCTCTTTTATTCTGGCGCGGACATTAGTTCATCACATGTATATCTCATTTAATTAAACAATCAATTAGTAATTTTATATATAGAATTTAAGCTGCGTAAAAGAGCCATGAAATTCATGATTTCATTGGAGTTTTGTCGTGTCTGTTTATTCTCAAATTGAATTTACCGTTATTAGATGGATTATTAGAGTAATAAGGTAACTCTATTGATAGGTTTTAGACTTCAAAATTTGATCAGAACATTATGAAAACAGTGCCATAATATTAGTATAAACATGTTCTTTCCGTTGATATATAATTCAATGGACTTGGACAAGAAAATTTACTAATGAATCTATTTCATCGCTTATTTTAGTACAAAAAATAAAATATGAACGATATTGAATTTTTTCTCATATTGAAAAATTTCAATCTCAAGTGTTGTTTTTCCCCGAACATGTTTAGTTTATTCAAAAAAAAAAAAATCAATAAACTTTTCGTTACCAGCATGTCGAATGCAAATTTACGAACGCAAACATGCTCTTATAATTGAATGAAATTTAATAGGATCTCTAATAAATTGATTTTACTGTTAAATTAATCATCAGTTGAAAGAATAAACATTTTTACATATATTTATATTAAAAGAATTTATTCAGAAAAATAATTCTCGTAAAAAATTGAAGTCAAATGAAAGATGAGTATATCCCGCTTTGCCTTGAACAGCCCATAATTATGCATATTAATTTATTTTCAATTTCGAATGAAGTGTTGATTGAGTCTAGAATAAAATTTTATCTGATCAAATATTAGAATTATTGATCAATACAATTACAAATATTATTTATTCGTTGATACAAAATTGTTAAACACTCAGTTTA